AAGCAGTGGTATCAACGCAGAGTACTCCGCGAGAAGCACCCCGGCCTGTACCGGGTCGTCCAGGAGCAGCTCAAGAAGTCCACCTCGGCCCGGCACTCCACCGCCGTCATGCGGCACGTCATCGCCGACGCCGAGTTCGCCCCCGAGGACGACAAGCGCCTCTACCTGTCCGACAAGGACGCGCTGCTGGTGGGCATGAAGCTCATCGAGCTGTTCGTCGAGGCGACCGGGCTGGTCGAGCTGGTCACCGTCGCCGAGCGCGGCAAGCGCCACCTGCTCATCGCCGGGAATCAGAAGGTGCTCGACTGGCTGACCAAGGCCCACGACAGCGCCGCCCTGTACCAGCCGGTGCTGATGCCGATGGTCGTCCCGCCCCGTCCGTGGACCACGCCCCGCGACGGCGGCTACCTGACCGACATCGGCGGCCGGGCTGACCTCGTGCGTACCCGCAACCGCGCCTACAAGCGCGAGCTGGCGCTGGTCGATATGCCCAACGTCTACCAGGCCCTCAACGCCATCCAGGCAACCGCCTGGAAGGTGAACGTGCCCGTCCTAGAGGTCATGCGCGAGCTGTGGAACGCAGGCGGCGGTGTCGCCGGGCTGCCGGAGCGTGAACTGATGGACCTGCCGAGCCGCCCTGCCCTGCTGGAGACCGACCCGGACTACTTCAAGGAGCACCACGCCGACGAGTTCAAGGAATGGAAGCGCGACCGCGCCAAGGTCTACGAGGCCAACGCGCGCAGCGTGTCCACCCGCCTCGCCGCCGCGCAGAAGATCGCCTTGGCGGAGAAGTTCGCCGAGTACCCCGCGATCTACTTCCCTCACAACCTCGACTTCCGCGGCCGGTGCTACCCCCTGCCCCCGACGCTGACCCCGCAGGGTGATGATGCGGCCAAGGGCCTGCTGACGTTCGCCCAAGGCGTGCCGCTCGGCGAGGACGGTGCCTACTGGCTCGCCATCCACGTCGCCAACTGCTTCGGCGTGGACAAGGTGTCGTTCGAGGAGCGCGTGGCCTGGGTGCGCGAGCACGAGGAGCAGATTCTCGACAGCGCCCTCGATCCGCTGGACGGCCAACGCTTCTGGATGGACGCCGACAGCCCGTTCTGCGCGCTGGCAGCGTGCTTCGAGTGGCTCGGCTACAGCCTCAACGGCCGCGATCACGTCTCCCACCTGCCCATCGCGCTCGACGGCTCCTGTAACGGCCTCCAGAACTTCTCGGCCATGCTCCGCGACTCCGTGGGCGGTGCAGCCACCAACCTGATCCCGCAGCCGAAGCCCGCCGACATCTATTCGCGCGTGAAAGACGTGGCCCAGGAGAAGCTGCGCGCCCGTGCCGAGAGCGGCGACCCGCTGGCGATCAAGCTGGACGGCCAGCTCACCCGCGACATCGTGAAGCAGCCGGTGATGACGCTGCCCTACGGCGTCACGAAGTCGGGCATGCGCGCCCAGGTGCTCTCCAAGTTCAAGAAGCTGGGCATGGAGGACGATTGGGAGACCGCCGAGTACCTGGCGACCCTGCTGTGGGAGTGCATCGGCGAGGTCGTGATCGCAGCCCGCGCGGCGATGGACTGGCTGCGTGACGCCTCCAAGGTCGCCTCGTCGGCCGACCTGCCGGTGAGCTGGACGACCCCCGCTGGCTTCCCGGTCCTCCAGGAGTACCGCGAGGAGGAAGGCGTCCGCATCCGGCCGCACGTCGGAGGCCGCGAGGTGAATTTAGTGGTCAACATCGGCGGTACTAAGCTCGACCGTCGCAGGCAGACCCTCGGGATCAGTCCGAACTTCGTCCACTCCTGCGACGCCAGCCACATGATGCTGACCACCTGCCTCGCGGCAGAGAACGGCATCGAGTCGTTCGCCATGATCCACGACTCCTACGGTACGCACGCGGGCCAGGCAGCAATCCTCGCCGCCGCACTCCGGCAGGCGTTCGTCGATCAATACAGCGGCGACGTACTGGCCGACTTCCGACAGCAACTCGTCGAGCAGCTCCCGCCAGAAGCGGCAGAGAAACTCCCACCCCTCCCGCCGCATGGCGACCTGGACCTCAGCCTGGTGCTGGAGTCGCGCTATTTCTTTGCCTAGTCCATCCCCCTTTGGCAATTGATACCCCAAGCGAGAACATCAACATGAGCATCAACTACCAGCACGCACTGAACACCTACGTTGCCCAGGACCACTTCGGTGTGGTCCTCGGCATCTACAACCCGGCCGAACACGGCACGGTCGAGGAGTTCAAGCACCGCATGACGGAGCTGCACGCAGGTGCGTGATCGCGTCATCGACGGACTGCACTCACGTTCTGCCGAGAGCGCCGCACGCGGCGCTTTCGTAGTGATCGACAGCGTGCAGTCCCTCGGCCACCCGGCCGATCAGGTGATCGGCTTGGCGTGCGCCTTCAAGAACTTCTGCGAAGTGCTCGGCCTCGATCCGATGGAAGTGCTGCGGGTCGTCTCGCGCATGGAGCAGGACTGCCGCTACCGGCAGGTCAACACCCTCAACGCCGTGCGCCGCTACGCGGAGCGCGAGCTGAAACCGCACTACCCGTGATGCGTGACCCGATCACCGACGCCTTCATCGACGAGGCGCTCATCGGCTTCGACATCGACGAAGCCTTCGGCATTTCCGCCGACACCCCGTTGACCGCCGCCGCTGACCTGTGGCGCGCGGGCATCTATCTCCCGACCAACTACGAGACCGACAACTGATGGCAACCAAGAAGCGCGAACGATTCGTCTCCCCCAAGGGCACCGCCGTGTGGCCGCGCCTGAACGAACCGGACACCAAGTTCAAGCCGGAAGGCGAATACACCGTGAGCCTGGCGTTCGACCCGAACGACAAGGACTTCAAGGCGCTGGCGAAGAAGCTGGAAACCCGGCGCGACGAGCTGTTCCAGGAGTTCCTGAGCGAGAACCCGAAGAAGAAGAAGGGTGCCGAAGTGGCCCCGGTGTTCACCGAAGAAACCGACGAGAACGGCGATGACACCGGCCGCGTGCTGGTGAAGTTCAAGATGAAGGCCAGCGGCGTCAGCAAGCGCACCGGCAAGAAGTTCACCATGCGCCCGGACATCTTCGACGCCCGCGGCAAGAAGATCGACAACCCGCCGCAGATCGGCGGCGGCAGCGAACTCAAGGTCTCCTACGAGATCGGCGGCTCGTTCGTCGAATCGGCCAAGAAGTTCTACCTGACCTGCTACATGGTCGCCGTCCAGGTGATCGAGCTGGTCGAGTTCGGCCAGCGCAACGCCAAGGACTACGGCTTCGGCGAGGAGGACGGCTACGAGGCCGCCGACAGCGCGCCGTTCAGCGACAGCGATGACGACTCGGACGACGACAGCGACTCCGACGACGAGGGCGATGACGGCGACTACTGATCCGCTGTCGGTCATCGTGAACACCGCGAGGGGGGCCAAGCATTTGGCCTCCCTCACGTTCCCGTTTGACCCGGTGCCCGCCTCGCGCCCGAAGGTTTCGCGCTGGGGCGTCTACTACGGCAAGACCTACAAGACCTGGAAGGAAGCCGCAGAGAAGCATCTGCCAGCCGGTGATCTGGACCTGTCGCCGACCGATCCGGTTTTAGTGGTCATCATCGCGGTATGCAAACGCGCCAAGACCTCGAAGGCCGCGTTTCCCAAGGGCGACGTGGACAACCTCGCCAAGGGGCCGATGGACGTTGTGACCAAAGCCACCGGCTATTGGGCCGACGACAAGCAAGTCATGTGGCTGCTCTCCGGTAAGCGCTGGGCGCAGCCGGACGAAGAACCACGCACCGAAGTCCACCTCTACAAACTCTAAGTGCGCCTCAAACCTCTGGAATCGGTAGAGGCGCTGTTCGTCCTCGCCAGCATGACCCGCCCCGAGCAGGTCACGACCGGCGAAGAACTCGCACGCCTGCACCGCTCGCAGGGCTACTCGAAGATCGCCGTCCACTTCGTCATCGAACGTGACGGCTCGATCTACGACGGTCGCCCGCTGAATCAGCCCGGCGCTCTCGCCGGTAAGCACAACCAATCCGCATACCAAGTCTGCCTCCTGGGCGGCGTCAACGACGCCATGCAGCCCGAGGACAACTTCACCGAAGCCCAACACGCCGCGCTGCGACGCCTGCTCGCCGCCTACGGCAAGCCCGTCGTGTGGGCACCTGACTTCCCTCGATAGGAGAACCCAACGTGAAACCGCTGCCCCCGCAAACCCAGGTCGTCCTGGATCACCTGCGTCGCCACTCGCACCTGACCTCGTGGCAGGCCGAAGGCGTCTACCGCATCCGCCGCCTCGCCTCGCGCGTCGATGAGCTGCGCGCTGCTGGCTTCGAGATCGAAACGCAGACCTGCGAGGACGCCTCGGGGCAGCGGTACACGCGCTATCGCCTGTCGCGCCGTCAGCGCCGCAGCAAGGCTCCGCTCCTGGAAGCGCGCCGCGCTCCGAAGCAGTACCGCGTCGATGCGCTGCTCCAGCTGTATCGCAACTACTGCACCGACGAGCTGGGCCTCGACGCCAACGATGCGACCGAAGAAGTCGCCGCATTCACCAAGTTCCTGCTGGAGAAGAACGCATGACCAACACCGCTACCACCGTCATTCCGTCCGCGATGCGCCTGGCTTTCGAGCGCGCATGGGCGCGCGCCGACAAGCCGTTCCGCGGCCTGGGCCGCACCGTCAAGGGTGCGCTGAATCGTCGCCTCGGCATTTCCTACCGCAAGCGCATGTGGTCCGTGGAGCGTGCAAAGCGCTGACTCCGAATACCTCCACAAAGAGCCGTGCCCGAACTGCGGCAGCAAGGACAACCTTGCGCGCTACAGCGACGGGCACGGCTACTGCTTCGGCTGCGGTCACTACGAGCCAGCCGAAGGCGAGGAGGTCTCTCAACCCACCAGCAGGAAAACCATGAGCGACTTTGCGAAGGGTGAACCGCAAGCCCTGGCGAAGCGCGGTATCACTGAGGAAGCATGCCGTAAGTACGGCTACTGGATCGGCAAGGACAAGCACGGCAAGACCGTGCAGATCGCCAACTACAAGCGCGATGGCGGCATCGTCGCGCAGAAGCTCCGCTACCCCGACAAGAAGTTCTCATTCATCGGCGACTCGAAGGCGTGCGGGCTGTTCGGCCAGCACCTCTACGAACCGGGGCGACGCCTCGTCATCACCGAAGGCGAGATCGACGCGCTCTCCGTGGCGCAGGCACTCGGCCTCCGCTGGCCGGTGGTGTCCGTTCCGAACGGAGCGCAAGGCGCGGCCAAGTCCATCAAGCGCGAGCTGGAGTGGGTCAACGGCTTCGACGAGGTTGTGCTCATGTTCGACATGGACGAACCGGGCCAAGCCGCCGCGCAGGAAGTGGCGCTGCTGCTGACTCCCGGCAAGGCCAAGATCGCACAGCTCCCGGCGAAAGACCCGAACGAGCTGCTCCAGCGTGGCGATGCCGAGGCGATCACCCGCGCCATCTACGAAGCGCAGACCAAGCGCCCCGATGGAGTGGTGACGTTCGGCTCCCTCAAGGAGAAGGCACTCAAGCCGGTCTCGATGGGCATGCCTTGGCACGACCCGCGCCTCACCGCGCTGACCTACGGCAAGCGGTACGGCGAGGTCTACACCTTCGGCGCGGGCACCGGCATCGGCAAGACCGACTGGCTGATGGAGGAAGCAGCCTTCATCGCGCAGGAAACCGGCGACCGCGTTGGCCTGTTCTTCCTGGAGCAGCAGCCGGTCGAGACGGCGAAGCGCATGGCAGGCAAGGTTGCTGGCCGCCGCTTCCACGTCCCCGATGGGAGCTGGACGCAGGAGGAGCTGGAAGCCGCGTTCGAGATTCTCGACAAGGGCCAGGTGTTCATCTACGACCACTTCGGCTCGTCCGAGTGGGACGTGATCGAAGCCAAGATGGCCCACATGGTCGTCGCCGAGGGCGTCAAGCACATCGTCCTCGACAACCTCACGTCGTTTGCGGCCGGTGCCGAGGACGAGCGGAAGATGCTGGAGGACACGATGGCGAAGATCGCGCAGTTCGCGCAGCGCCACCTCATCTGCATCTACCTGGTCTCGCACCTCGCCACGCCGGAAGGCAAGCCACACGAGGAAGGCGGGCGCGTGATGCTCCGCCACTTCAAGGGCAGCCGCGCGATTGGCTTCTGGACGCACTTCGCGTTCGGCCTGGAGCGCAACACGCAGGCCGAGAACGAGGCCGAGCGCAACTGCACGACCTTCCGCGTCCTAAAGGATCGCTTCACCGGCCAGTCGAACGGCCAGGTTCTCTACTACAGCTACGACCACGCATCCGGCCGCCTGCTCAATGCAGATGCTCCGGGCGAATACGGCGACTTCGCCGACGAGTCATCCGATGTATCCACCTCCGACTACTGACGGCCGCTCGGTCGTCGGCTTCATCCCAGCTGATGCGCCGCTCTCCTTCGCTGAGAGCCTCGTTCTCCCCTACCAACTCCCGCGCTCCGACCAAGCCTGCCGTGTCATGTACGGCAAGCCTGGGCGGCGCGTGGTCATCCACATCAAAGCCGAGGAACTACCCCAATGAAAGAGATCGTCGCCATCGCAATCGACCTGCTGACCGCTCCGTTCCGCAAGGACACCGTGACCGACGTGGTGAAGGTGCTGGAGGGCCAGGTGGACAAGCTGTTCAAGATCAGCGCCGACCGCATCGCCACCGCATCGACGCTGCGCGACAAGGCCGATGTCCTGCACTCGCAGGCCGACGAGCACGAGGAAGAAGCCGAGCGCGCCCTGCGCGTCGCCGAGCGCTTCACCAACCTGATCCGCTAAGGGACCAACCATGACTGCCGAGCAACACGCTCGGTCCCTGTTCGACGTGTTGCCGGCCGAAGTCCGCCACCTGGTGATCCTGGGTGGCGGAAGCCTGCGCGCGTTCTACGACGGGACCGAAATCAAGGACATCGACTGCTTCTTCGTGTCACTGGCGAGCTACACCTACGTGGCCGCGTACCTGAGCGGCCGTAACGACTGGACCAGCGAGGCCGCTCCGAACGGCATCCGCAACTTCCGCTCGCCCGAGGGTCACCTCGTGAGCCTGATCGGCTTCGAGTTCGGTACGCCGCACGAGCACTGCGCCCGGTTCGATCTGCGGTGCTGCGCCCACGTCGCCATCTACGAACCCAGCACCGACGAGGTGGTGGTCGTATCCCTCGAAGGCGCGGTTGCCGACGCATCGGAGAAGCTGCTGTTCGTGCTGAACAACAACGGCACCGAGCGCACCATCCGCCGCATCACGCACTACGTCGAGGATTACGGCTACACGCTGCATCCCGACCAGCCCGAGCAGGACGAACTGTTCGAGGACGACGACTTCCCCGGCCACGCGCCGCAGGGCGTCCACACGCCGCCGAAGGCCCCCGAGCCGGAGTACATCCTCCGCGCCCGCCGCCGCGTCCGCGCAATCCCCGTAACCAACCACGGCTACCCGTAAGGAGGACCGCCGTTGATCCTCGTATTCGACTGCGAGACCAATGGCCTCCTCGACGAACTTGACACGATCCACTGCATTTCCCTCCAAGAGGTAGATGAGACCGGCGCACCGCGCGGTCCCATCCTGTCCGCCAACGATCACGGCACGGGCGAAATGACAGTCCGTCAGGCCGTCGAGAGGCTCAAGAAGGCCAAGCGCGTTGTCGGCCACAACATCGCCGGATTCGACATTCCGGCTATCGCCAAGGTGTTCCCGGACTTCAAGGTCCAGGCGTACTTCGACACGTTGCTGATGTCCACGCTGGTCTACCCGGACCTCAAGGACCGCGACTTCAAGGCCCGCAAGAAGCAGGGAGCGAACCCGGTGTTGCCGGGCAAGCTGATCGGCCGCCACGCCCTCGAAGCGTGGGGCTACCGCCTCGGTCGCTGGAAAGGCGACTACGCGGCGCAGATGGCCGCACGCGGCCTCGATCCCTGGGCACAGTGGTCTCAGGAAATGGACGACTACTGCGACCAGGACGTTGCGGTCACGCAAGCGCTGTTCGCGTTGCTGATGAGCAAGGGCCTCCCTACCGAGGCCATCGAGCTGGAGCAGGCCGTCGCGCCGATCCTCTCGCGTCAGCAGCGCTACGGCTACCTGTTCGATCAGGAGAAGGCGCGTGAGCTGGAGTGCATCCTCGTGTCCCGGCGCACTGCGCTGGAGGCCGAGCTGCGCAAGGTCATTCCGCCGTGGAAGGTGGTGAAGCGCAAGTTCGTACCGAAGCGCGACGACAAGCGCCGCGGTTACGTCAAGGGCGTGGAGGTCACGACCTACAAGGACGTGGTGTTCAACCCGGCAAGCCGCCAGCACATTGCTGACCGCTTGACTGCAATGTACGGCTGGCAGCCCCAGGAGTTCACCGAGAAGGGCCAGCCGAAGATCGACGAAGAAGTCCTGGGCGCGCTCAAGTTCCCGATCATCCCGCTCCTGCTGGAGCACTTCATCGTCAACAAGCGCCTCGGCCAGCTCGCCGAAGGCGACGAGGCGTGGCTCAAGGCCATCAAGAAGGACGGCCGCATCCACGGCAGCGTGAATCAGAACGCAGCGGTGACCGGCCGCATGACGCACTCGAAGCCGAACATCGCTCAGGTGCCGAAGGTCCAGCACTCGAAGGAGAAGGGAATCCTCAAGGGCCAGGAAGGCGGCTACGGATTCGAGTGCCGCTCGTTGTTCTGCGTCCCAACAGGGAAGCTCCAGGTCGGCGCGGACGCCTCGGGATTGGAGCTGCGCTGCCTGGCGCACTTCATGGCAAAGCACGACGGCGGCGAGTACGCCAAGGTCATCCTCGAAGGCGACATCCACTCCGTCAACCAATCGGCGGCAGGACTGCCAACCCGCGACAACGCCAAGACCTTCATCTACGCCTTCCTCTATGGGGCAGGCGACGCGAAGCTCGGCTCCATCGTTGGCAAGGGTCGCCAGGCCGGGGCGAAGCTCCGCTCGAAGTTCCTGGCCGGGCTGCCTGCGCTGGAGAAGCTGGTACGCGGGGTCAAGAAGCGCGCGGCCGAGAAGGGATACCTGATCGGTCTCGACGGCCGGAAGCTGCACATCCGCAGCGACCACGCCGCGCTCAATACCCTGCTCCAGTCGGCCGGTGCGCTGGTGATGAAGAAAGCCCTGGTGATCCTCGACGCCGACCTGCAAGCCGCAGGGTTGGTGCCGGGCGTCCACTACGAGTTCCTCGCCAACGTCCATGACGAGTGGCAAATCGAAGTGGACGAGGACAAGGCCGAGTTCGTGGGCAAGACCGCCCAGGCTGCCATCCGCAAGGCTGGCGATTACTTCGGCTTCCGCTGTCCGCTCGATGGCGAGTTCAAGATCGGAAGGAATTGGGCCGAGACGCACTGACCCGCGGCAAGCGGGACATTGCACTCGCCCTGGTGCGCCAAGCGAAACGCCGGGCAGCTAGGAAGGGACTGCCGTTCGACCTCACGTCGGACGACATCGTGGTCCCCGACTTCTGCCCGGCACTGGGCATCCCGCTGTACCGCGCTGTCGGGCGCAAGGCCCAAGGCCCCAACTCACCCACGCTCGACCGCATCGAACCTGACCTCGGCTACGTCCGGGGCAACGTGCGCGTGATCTCCGCACGCGCGAATCAGATCAAGTCCGACGCGACTCCCTCGGAGCTTCTGCGAGTCGCCTGTTACGTCCAAGAGAACCGATGAACCCAACCAACATCCTGCGCGCCCTCGCGGCGCTGCTGGTCGTTGCCGCGCTCGCGGCAGGCGGCTTCGCAGCCTGGAAGTACACCGCAATGGCCCAGCGCGTGACGGAGCTGGAGGAGTCGGCAAAGGAACTGGCCGACCTCAAGCAGACCGTCGAGACCCTCAACCGCGAAGCCGTGCGCCGCTCTGCCTTCGATGCAGCGCTGCGGAACGCCCGCGCCACCACCAACCGCTCTGTGGAGATTGCAGCAAATGCTGACCCGGAAACTGGCGATTACCTGTCTCGCCGCATTCCTGACGAGCTGCGCCGCGCACACCTCGAAAGTCGTGCCGGAGCAGTTCCTCCAGCCGACCGTCATTGAGGGCACGCACTCCTCACTCGACGCCGTGATGGCTGACCCGACCACCACCACCTACGACCTCTACCGCTTCGGCGGCAACGCCGAGGACGGCCTCCAGCGTTGCAACGCCGACAAGGCGAGCGCCCTGGAAGTCCTCAAGGAATCGAACCGATGAACGAGAACCGGCTTCGCGTGCATTTCATTGGCGGCCCCGCTGACGGCGATGTCCGCGTGATCGATCCGTGTACCACCTACCGCGTGGCTGTGCTCGAACACCAGCCCGAGGTTCATGCCTACAACGCCAAGTGCCCGTGCTGCACCGAGCGCATGCTGCGCCCCGTGGAGTGGAGCACCGCGACCTACTTCATCCGCCGCGTTAGCGAGAAGTGCTGGGTCGCCGTACACGAGAGCATGGTATGAAGCGCGCTCTCCTGATCCTGGCGCTGTGTGCTGGCCTCGCTGCGTGCGATATGAAGCCCTGGCCGCCGAGTGCGGACTATGGCTCGTGCCTGAAAGGGCACAGCGAGAACTCCTACATCATCATGTGGCAGTCGATGTGTACGGGGAACTCCTGCACGCAGATTCCGTACACCATCCCGACCACCGACTTCGTGTGCGACGAGCACGAGTACCCGCTCGGCGACGGCCCGGAGTACCAGGCCGGAATGAAGCGCTACGCCGCCGAGCTACAGGCGTGGTATGAGCGCTACCCGGAGAAGCGGCCATGACTTCCTACGTCACCTATCGGCCACCGCAGGCGGCCGGTTCCTGGGTCATTGGCGGCAACTTCTTCGTGCAGGTCCGGGAGCGTCCGAACTGGCTGCACCGCTGGTTCGCGCTGGCGTTCCTGGGATGGCAGTGGGTGGACGCATGAACAAGCGCGGCCCCCTGCTACTGATCGACGCCGATGTGCTGCGCTACCAGCTCGCGTTCTCGAACACCGCGAACATCGACTGGAACGGCGACGGCAACAAGGTCGAAGCGATCCAGCCCGAGCGCGCGAAGGCGAAGCTGGAGGACTACATCGACGAGATCGTCGAGAAGTTCGGCGCGCGTGATTACCTGCTGGCCCTGTCCTGCAAGAAGCACAACTTCCGCAAGGACATCGACCCAACCTACAAGCTCAACCGTGCCAGCAAGGACAAGCCTGCCCTGTGGTACGTGCTCGACGAGTTCGTCTACGACGAGTTCGGCGACAAGATCGTGGAGATCGAGAACCTGGAAGGTGACGACGTGCTGGGGCTGCTGGCCTCGCACCCGAATCCGAAGCGCGCGCCAGGCAGCCGCATCGTCGTGTCCATCGACAAGGACATGCAGACGATCCCCGGCATCCGTCTCTACAACCCCAACCGTCCCGACGTGGGCGTCCGGCCGATCTCGGCTCACGACGCTGACCTGTTCTGGATGAAGCAGGTGCTCACGGGCGACCAGGTGGATAACTACCCCGGCTTCCCCGGCATCGGCCACAAGGGCGCGGACGAGCTGCTCATGCCCATCCACGAGGCGTACCGCGATGCGTCCGTCGAGGAGCACCTCGGCGCGCTGTGGAACACCGTCGTCACCACCTACACCACCCGCATCCCCCGCGGCGGCACCGAGCCGCTGTCGAAGCACGATGCGATCCGCCAAGCACGCCTCGCGCGAATCCTGCGCTACGGCGACTACAACCCCAAGACCAAGGAAGTGAAGCTGTGGAAACCCTGATCCTGTTCATCACCATCGTCGCCGTGCTGGCCGTGCTGTTCGCCTTCGTCGCCTACGGCGCTGCCTGGCTGTGGTGGCGCAGCCTCAACACCCTCGAACGCACCCTGTACCGCTCGGCTGGCAGCGTCAAGCTGTGGCCGGCCGCTGTCGGCGTTGCTGGCGCGGCTTGGCTGATCGCCCGGTGTTTCGCCTGACGACAACCAAGCCACCTGATCCTGCTTACCGCAACTCGTCCACGTAGAACTGCTTCCAGTGTGCAATCTCTGACGGATTCCGACTTACGGGTTCTCGGCTATTGAAAACCCAAAGCTGGATCGCCTTCGGCGTAGTCAACGTTTCATACGTGCAGCTGAACTCAGTGAGCTTATCTGTGATGAGCTGCTTGGCCGCATCGTAGCGCTCTCGCTGAATTCCTTGTGCTTGCCCTGATGCCACGAGCGCATCCATCGCCTCCTGTAGGCCATAGAGCTTCTGTGCAAGCTCAGAGATTTCCGCTCCGTTTGTGTTACTCGGCGTAGAACTCGCCATACCTGTCTCCTTCCATAACGAACACGAATTGTACCCGGCTAAGGCCGGGTTTCTCTTTTGGAGTCCCCATGAAGATCATCGGAATCACCGGCCGCGCCCGCAGCGGCAAAGACACCCTGGCCGAGTTCCTGGTCAGCGACCACGGCTTCGTGAAGCTGTCCTTCGCGGCCCCGATCCGCGCCTTCGTGGCGGACATCACCGGCCTGCCGGTGTCCGCGATGGAGGACGGCCCGCTCAAGGAGGAGCCGCTCGACTGGCTCAACGGGCAGACCCCGCGCCGCCTGATGCAGACCGTGGGCACCGAGTGGGGCCGTGAAATGATCGACCGCGACCTGTGGGTCAAGGTGGTCGCGCAGAAGATCCGTCAGGCCCGCCGCGACGGCGCTGCTGGCGTCGTGGTGTCGGACGTTCGCTTCGACAACGAGGCGCAGTTCATCCGTGAGTGGGGCGGCCAGGTGGTCCAGGTGCTCCGCGACAGCGCGGCCCCGGTCTCGGCGCATGCCTCCGAGGCAGGCGTCCACGGCGACCTGATCGACACCGTGATCGACAACAACGGCCCGATCCACCGCCTGCGGATGGTCGCGGAATCGCTGGCCCGACTCTAAGGGTTTAGTGGTCATCATCGGGGGAAACGACAGTTTCCCCACCTATTCATAACCCAGGAGTTCTATGCAAATCCCTCTGCACTCCTACGACCTGATCGACCTCCTGGACGAACTGCACCCCGAAGTGATCTACGACCCCGCCAAGCCGAAGGAGGAGTTCCTGCTCCGGCAGGGCGAGCGCCGCCTGATCCTCCGGCTAAAGGCGCTGCGGAAGGTCGAGCAGATGGAGCACCGCGCCCGCTAATCATGTGCAGCAAGCCCAACATGCCGGACCAGCAGGAGAAAGACCCGATCCTGCTGACCCGCCAGGACACCCAGCCGACCGGCCACGCGGCCGATCAGCGGCGTAAGTCCAAGGTCCGACTGGACCTGAACAACGCAACGCAGTACCAAGGACTGACCATTCCGAATGGCTGACGCCAAGCAGACCTCGGCCGAGAAGCAGACGGCCGCGAAGCGCTACGGCGATCTCAAGTCCAACCGCAAAGAAGCCGAGACGCGCGCCAAGCGCTGCGCCAAGGTTACCCTGCCCCGCCTGTGGGTGGACGAGGGCGCGAAATCGCGTACCCCCGGTTCCGCCTACATCGACACCGGCCCGAAGTGCGTCAACGCCCTGGCCTCGAAGATCGTGCTGGCCTGGCTCCCGCCGAACGCCTCGGTGTTCAAGCTCGCGCCTGACCAGGCAGTCGCCGAGAACATCGCCGAGCAGGCTGGCGTGGAGACCTCCGAACTGGAGGCCGCGCTGGTGGACGTGGAGCGGGTCATCGTCAACGACCTGGAGACCAGCGGCGTCCGCCCGGTCCTCAGCGAGGCGGCCAAGCACGCCATCGTCCTCGGCAATTTCCTGCTCTACGACCCCGACGAGGGCAAGCCTAAGCTGTATCCGCTGACCTCCTACGTGACCGACCGCGACGGCCTGGGCAACGTGCTGGAGATCATCACGCTCGACAAGATCGCCCCGGCCATGCTGCCGGACTCGATCCGCGCGGCGGTGATGCAGAAGCTCGCCCAGGAACGCGACGAAAAGACCAAGAACGACGACGTGAACCTCTACACCTGGGTGCGTCGCTCGGAAGATGGCAAGGAGTGGGAAGTGGTCCAGGAGGTCGAGGGCGTCGAAGTCCCCGAGACCGTGGGCACCTACCCCATCGACGCCTGCCCGTGGATTCCCCTGTGCGCGCCGCCGTCCCTCGTGGACGACTACGGCGAGGGCTTGGTCTACGACTACGTGGGCGCGTTCGAGTCGCTGGAGGCGCTGCGCAAGGCGATCCGTAAGGGTGCCGCCGCGCTGGCGAAGATCATCATGTTCCTCAAGCCGACCTCGACGATCCGCGAGCGCCAGCTCACCGAGGCCGAGTCCGGCGCGGTGCTGCGTGGCGAGGCCAGCGACGTGACCACGCTCCAGCTCCAGAAAGCCTACGACCTGAACTTCGTGCGTCAGGAGGCCGAAGGGCTGGCGAACTCGCTGGAGCTGATCTTCGGCGTGAAGTCCGCCGTGCAGCGCCCCGGCGAGCGCGTGACCGCCTACGAAATCCGGGTGCTCACCCAGGAACTCGACGACGCCCTCAGCGGCTTCATGGCGATGTCGGGCGAGCAGCTCTTGCTGCCGCTGATCCGCCGCCGCCTGCACAAGCTCCAGAAGCAGGGTCGCCTGCCCGAGCTGCCGCAGGAACTCATCAAGCCGCGCATCACCGTTGGCATCGCCGCCCTCGGCCGCGGCCACGACCTGAACAAGCTGATCGAGTTCGGTCAGGCAGTGGATGCGCTTGTCGGCGCAGAGGAGAAGGCGCGCCGCCTCAACAGTGGCGAGGCGATCTCCCGACTGGCCGCCGCTTCCGACATTTCCACCAAGGGCCTGATCCGCTCCGACGACGAGCTTGCTGCCGAGCAGCAGGACGCCTCGGCGCAGGAGGCGATGGTCCGTGCCGCTCCGAATATCGCCTCAGCGATGACCCAAACCCCGTAACCCCGAGAAGGACGCAATGTCGAACGAAACCACCGAGAAGCCCGCCAAGCCGACCAAGGAAGCCCCGAAGGCTCCGAGCGTCGAGCGTAAGGGCAAGGCCGAGATCACCCGCAAGACGAACGGCCTGGTCATCGTCAACTACAAGCCCGAGGACAAGTAATGTCGCAGCCGGGCAAGTCCGAAGTGACCGTCAGCCTTGACGGCATCAACGGCCAGCCGACCCCAGGTCAGCAGCCGCCGCAGAACTCCCAGGACACCCAGCAGCCCGCACCGGGCGCGCAGGGTGGCACCGATGGCGAGCGCCTGTTCGGCGGCAAGTACAAGACCGTGGAGGAGCTGGAAGCCGCCTACGCACAACTGAGCACGCCAGCCGACGACAAGGGTGGCAAGGGCGGCCCCGCGACCATCGACGACGCCACCGCGGATGACGCGCGTGACGCCTTGGCGCGGGCTGGCCTGAACCTGGACGACTTCGCCACCGAGTTCAACTCGAACGGCTCGCTGTCCGAGGAGAGCTACAAGAAGCTCCAGGACGCGGGCTATCCGAAGGAGCTGGTGGACGTGTACGTCGATGGCCTGCGCGCTCGCGTGCAGACCTACGAGAACGCCGTCTACTCGCCCGCAGGTGGCAAGGCCGGTTACGACGGCCTGGTCCAGTGGGCTAAGACCAACCTGAGCGCCGAGCAGAAGCGGGCGTTCAACGAAGCGGTGCAGTCCGGCGACGCCGGCCGCGCAGCGCTGGCAGTCCAGGGCCTCGTCGCCCTCCGTGGCGGCAACGGCCGCCTTCTGAATGGCAAGACCGCATCGAACGCCGATGCAGGCCCCAAGCCGTTCCAGTCGCAGGCGCAGGTCGTCGAAGCGATGCGCGATGTGCGCTACCACCGTGATCCGGCTTACCGCGCGGAAGTCTCCGCCCGCCTGGCCGTGTCGCCGCTGTTCAAGTAATCCACTCAACCTCAAGCAAGGACTAAATGTCGGACGCAATCCCCTCCCGCCTGGGTCAAGCCCAGGCCAACGGCGACGCCTGGGCGCTGTTCAAGCAGAACTACACTGCTGAAACCATCACCAGCTTCGTCGAGAACTACAAGCTGGACGGCCGCGTGTCGGTGCGCAACATCGAGAGCGGCAAGTCCGCCTCGTTCCCGAACGTCGGCACCATCGGCTCCGAGTACCATGTGCCGGGCACCGAGATCAAGGGCCTGGTGGTCGAGCACAACGAGACCATCATCACCCTCGATCCGATGCTGATCTCGCACGCCTTCATCGCCAACATCGACGAGGCGATGAACCACTACGACGTGCGTTCCGAGTACACCCGTCAGCAGGGTGCGGAGCTGGCGCTCAAGCGCATGCAGAACGAGCTGCGCTGCGCGATCCTGGCCGCTCGTACCACCGAAGGCAAGGTCGAAGGCCAGCCGGGTGGTGCCATCATCAAGGCCGCCACGATGGCCTCCGATCCGACCGTGCTGGCCGATGCGTTCCGCAACGCCCGCATGCTGTTCGACGAGAAGCTGCTGCCGGACAACCCGCAGGAGTTCACTGGCGCACTGGCCCCGGCTCAGTGGTATCTGCTGACCGAGAACAAGGACTTGATCGACCGCGACATCAACGCGGAATCGAACGGCTCCTACGGCCAGGCGATCATTTCCTCGGTCGCCCGCATCCCGCTGGTGAAGATCAACGCGATGCCGCGTGTCGATGAGTCGGCCCTGGCCTCGATCCCGGCCAAGTACCGCGGCAACTTCGCGGACACCGTGGGCGTGATCTTCCACCGCTCGGCGGTCGGCACCCTCAAGCTGCTGGACCTGTCCCTGGAGGACGTGTACCAGGGCGAGAAGCAGGGCACCCTGATGCTGGCGAAGTACGCGCTGGGTCACGGCATCCTGGCTCCGCGCGGTGCCATCGAGCTGTCGAAGGCCCCGTAAGCAATACCGCGCCGTTGGGCAAATCCCGCGGCGCTTCAATCTCTCTCCATCTACGGGGGACATCCACATGGGTGTCCCCCGTTTTTTTGCCCCGAATCCATGAACCTCGAACTCACTCCGACCACGGAACTCGAAGCCGTCAATGTGCTGCTCGGTGCTATCGGCGAAGCGCCGATCAGCGACCTCGAAGCGCTCGGCAACCTGTACGCCTCGCAGGCGCGCGACACCCTCCGCGCGGTGAGCCGCGAGGTCCAAACCGCTGGCTGGTGGTTCAACACCAGCGAGTCGTTCACCTTCACGCTCAACGCGGAAGGCAAGGTGCTGCCGCCGCAGTCGATCCTCAAGCTCGTCCCCGCACGCGGAAGCGAGCCGCTGGTGATCCGAGGCACGCGCCTCATCAACCCGCTCACCCTCGCCGACACGTTCTCGTCGGCCCCCACCGCCGACTTCGTGACCTGGTTCCTCGCCTACGAGGAGCTGCCCGAGTCGGCCCGCCGCTACATCGCCGTGCGCGCTGCGCGTCTGTTCCAGACGAGCGTGCTGGGTAGCGACCAGCTCTACGTGTTCACCGAGAAGCACGAGGAGGAGGCATACCTCATCTTCGCGCAGGAGCACGCCGACTTCACCTACGCCCGCGGCCACAACTTCCTCAGTGGCTCGACGGACGTGTCTGATATTTGGGACCGCTGATGCCGCTAATCACGGGGGACTATCCCTCGTTCCTGGGAGGCGAGTCGCAGCAGGACGATACCGTCCGCTCGCCGAACCAGCTCACCAAGGCGATCAACGCCTGGCTGCATGCCGCAATGGGCGCTGGCAAGCGCCCGCCCGCCGAGTTCGTTGCTGGCCTTGGCGTCACCCTCGATCACGACTGTGCCTTCCACTCCATCGTCCGCGATGAGAACGAGCGCTACATCGTCGCCGTGGGTCACCGCAGCATCCGCGTGTTCGACCACGAGACCGGCAAGGAATACACCGTCAACGCCACGGGCGACGCGCTCAACTACCTGGACACCCAGGGACAGCGTGCGTGGTCGTGCTTCGCGCTGGCGACGTTCTCCGACACCACCTTCATCGTCAACCGGCTGGTAGACGTGAAGCAGAGCGATGAGCTGTCGCCCGGTTCGCTGTACGGATCGGCGCAAACGATGTCCGACCTGCCGAAGCCCGGCGACAAAGGCTCGGCCGTTGTGCCGACCGGCGCGATCTACAACATCATCGGCTCGTCCGAATCGCAATTCGACGACTACTACGTCCAGAAGCAGTCCTCCTCGGTCTACCTGGAGGTCGCCCGGCCGGGCATCAAGCACCGCTTCGATGCCAAGACGATGCCGCACATCCTCAAGCGCATCCCCGATCCAGTGCATGCGGACGGCTTTTGGTTCTCCTTCGGTGGACCGGAGTGGACCGCGCGCCTCGCGGGTGACGAGCAAAGCAACCCGTTCCCGTCCATCGACGGCCAGCGCATCCGCGAGGTGTTCAAGCACCGGGACCGCCTAGGCTTCCTGGCCGGGGAGAACGTGCTGATGTCCGAGGTCTCCGATCCGTTCAACCTCTGGCGCACTTCGGTGACCCAGGTGCTCGACGCCGACCCCATCGACGTGAGCGTCAGCGGGTCTAACGGCGTCACCACGCTCTACCACGCAGTCCCGTTCCAGTCGGCCCTGTTCCTTGCCGCTGCGGGCGGCCAGTTCCTCCTGACCGCCGAGCCGTACCTGGCCGCCAAGAACGTCAAGAGCGATCCGGTCAACAGCTACAGCAGCTCGCCGTACATCCGGCCGAAGCTGATGGGCGAGTCGCTGTACTTCACCGAGGACAGCGGCGCATACGCCAGCGTGCGCGAATACTTCATCGACGACCTGTCGGTGACCGGCGACGCCGCCGACGTGACGGCGCATGTGCCCAAGCTGATGCCGGGCCGCATGCGAGCGATGGCGAGCGCAAGTGGTGCCGACTGCGTGTTCTTCGCTCCTGACGAGCCGACCGACGCGCAGCTCTACGTCTACTTCGTCCGCTGGATCGGCGACGAGAAGCAGCAGTCCGCATGGACGCGCTGGTCAATCTCCGGCGTCGGTCGCATCGTCCACATGCACGCCATCAACGACGTGCTGTACGCCGTCGCGGAAGCCCCAGGCGGCGGCTGCGAGCTGCTCAAGTTCCGCATGGTGCTCAACCAGCACGACACGGATGCCACGGGCGACTACAACTTCCTGCTCGACCGCATGCTGGTGGTGCAGCCCACCTATCAGCAGTTCGGCAACGAGACCTGGATCGACCTGCCCTACATCGTGCCCGATGGCATGACGGTCACCGTCCTCAAGACGGACGACTGGCAAGACCCCGGCGCGTACCTGGACATCACCAAGGCGCGCTGGGACAACGCCCGCACCCGCCTTGCGCTCCCCGGTAACCACACCGAGGGCCGCGTGGTCGTCGGCATGGACTACGAGCACCGCCTCACCCTGACCAAGCCCATCGTTCGCGGTGGGCAGAACCAGGCCGTGCTGGTGGGCCGCACGCAGGTGCGTGACATCGAGGTCGCCTACAAGGATGGCGCGTACTTCGAGCTGGAGGTCGAGCAGCACGGCAATGGCCGCGTCGAGACCTACGTGGCGTCGCACTCCGGTGCGTACACCGCGCGCGTCCTCAACGACTCGGTGTTCCGCACCAGCGCCCCGACGTTCCACTCCGGCTCTCGCCGGTTCCCCGTGCTGGGCGACGCCAACAGCGTCCGCATGCACCTCGTCAACCGCCTGCCGTTCCAGTGCTGGTTCCAGTCAGCACAGTGGCGCGGCATGTTCGTCTCCCGCAGCCGAGTATGACCCTGACCTATCGAAGCCCCACCGCCAGCGACATCCTCCACGTCGCCGAGAACATGCGGCAGGAGGACATCCTGGAGGTGGCGGCTTCGCATGGTCACACCCCGCTCCAGGCGCTCGCATTTGCAGTGACCGCGAGCGACCGCAGTTTCGCCGCGATGCACGACGGTTCCCCCGTGTGCATCTTCGGCTTCAGCCAGCACGCCGAGGGTATCGCCTCGGTTTGGCTGCTGGGCACCGACGCCCTGGTGGCTCCCACGTTCTGCCGCACGTTCCTCCGAGAAGCTCGGCGGATCAGCGACAGTACTCTGCGTTGATACCACTGCTTCTTCAACTTCGTCGATGTCCACGCCGTCACCACGCGGCGATGGCTCGGCTGGCTTGGCTTCCGCGAGAGCGGCGTCGAGTCCGCCTACGGCTTCGCCAAGACACCCTTCGTCCGAGTAACCAAGACCCCATGTGCAACCCCGTAGCAGTCCAGGTCGGTATCGCCGCAGTCAGCGCGATGGCGACCATGTACGGCCAGGATCAGAACAACAAGGCCATCGAGGAAGCCGCGGAGCGTCAGCAGGAGCAGATCAACGACCAGGCCGCCGAGCGCACCCAACAGCGCATGGAGGAGGCCCGCGCACTGCGATCCGCGATGCGCGCCTCCGCAGCAGAAGCGGCAGTGTCCGGCAACTCGGTCGAGCTGCTGGCGAACGACATCATGGCCCAGGCTGGCCGTGACGTGGCCCTCATCGAGAAGAACCGCAGGAACGGAGTCGTCGAAAGCGGCTCCGAAGCACGCGCTCGTATCCGCACCGGCAATGCCGAGGCGCTGGGCGGCGTGATGCAGTCAGGCGCGAATGCCTACAGCAACATCCAAACCTACAAGCGCTATTCCATTCCCGGAGACGAGTAACCCGTGGCTCGCACGAAACCCCAAGAGATCATCCGCCGCGCGCAGGTGCCGCAGCGTCTCGCCGAGCGCCCCGTTCTGGCGGTGCAGGCTGACCAAGCGTCCTCCGCTGGTGCCGGTGTCCTCTCTCGCACCGCCGCTGCGGTGCTGACGCGCGTCTCGGATTCCGTCAACTCGCAGATGATCTCAAACAGCCGCGAGCAGTACAGCGCCGCGGCGACCCAACGTATGCAGGAGGACGCCGAGGGTACGCCCCGGCAGGCCGAGGACTTCGTTGCCCAGCAGTCGGAGTCATGGCGTCGCGGCTACCTCAAGGCAGACGGCATCATCCGCGTCCGCGACTGGCAGATCGAAGCGGCCAAAGAGATCGCCAAGGCCGAACCCGGCACCGACATCGAGCCGCTCATCAAGGAGCGGATGGCTGCGCTGACGCAGAACCCCGAGTTCCAAGACCCGCAGGTCCGCAAGGCCCTGATGCCGGTCGCCATGCGCGCCGCGCAGCAGGTCCGCCAGCAGTGGCAGGCCGACTCGATGCGGGAAATGCTGGTCCGGCAGAAGGAGTCGCTGACCGCGATCATCCGCGACGGCATCAAGGGCGGCACGTTCCTCACTTCCGAGGGCATGAACGGCCTGTACGCGATGCTGGACCAGGAGGAGTACGCCTATCTCAACAAGCGCGACGTGGACGAACTCTACGTCGAGGCCGCCAAGGAGGAGCTGGCCGCAGGCAACCGCGATCCTCAGTCGATCCTGGCGTTCCTGGAGCAGGACCGCGGCGACGGCCAGCCCGGCTTGATGAACACCGAGCACGGCGACGAGCTGCGCGCGGCGGCTGCCGCTGGTGCCCGCGTGATCGCACACCGCGAGGACGAGGCACGCAAGCAGGCGATGGCCGAGGCAGAGTGGACGCTCCAGGGCCTCGCGGATCGCGGCCAGCTCACCCACAAGACCATCGACACCTGGGCCAGTAAATTCGGCCTGAGCGGTGGCGACCTCCAGTCCTTCAAGCGATACTGGAACAACCAGCAGGAGCAGACGCTTCGCCGCTGGGAGCAGGAAGCGAAGGAGCGCGCCCGAGAGGAGCGCATCCGCAAGCTGGTAGCCGGGGGCAATCCCTACGAGATCAGCGACGCCGACCTCAAGAAGCAGGCCGGTAAGGAGTGGGAGGAAACCCCGCAGGCCGCACGCGGCCAGGTGCTCCAGAAGTGGGCACGGCAGGGCATCGTCATCCCCCAGCTCGAACGCATCCTCAAGCGCGCTGACCCGGCGTTCCAGGAGAACTTCCAGAACGCCGCGACGCTGTACGAACAGCTCCGCAAGGTCTCGCCCAAGTACGCCGATACGGTCGCTGGCGGCGAGGCTGCCGCAATGCTGGACCAGTACCTCTACGACACCCGGCGCAGCGGTCAGTCTCACCAGGAGGCCGCTCGCGTCCTGACGCAACCGAAGCGGGAAGTCGAGGAGGCCCGCTCGGTCATCAACGACACCTGGAAGTCCGGCATCAAGGACTACCTGGAGATCGACGGCAAGCCGCGTGACCCGCGTGAGCTGCACCGCATCCGCCAGGAAGCCGAGCGCATCGCCTCGCGTGGCGGAGTGTCCGGCGAAGCTGCCATCCGTGCAGCGGTCGGTCAGATCGACGCCCAGCGCACGACCGTCAACGGCCGCCGCGTGCCAAACATCGGCATGCCGCAGGGTGCCGAGCCAGCGGTAGACGAGCTGATCCAGACGGTCGCGCGCAAGCTCGGCCGCGACCCGGATGAGCTGTCGGCCCTGCCCAATCCCCGCAATCCGGGGCAGTGGCAGATCGTCGGCCCCGACAACTGGCTGATCCCTGACCCGCACACCGGCCGCGCCATCGGTTTCGACCCGCGTGCCATCGCGGCACAGCACCAGCGCTGGAAGGGAGACCTTGCGGAATCCCAGGCGCGTCGTCGGGTCGAGCAGCGCACCACCTGGGCGGACCAGTCCCGGAACATCCGCGACCTGCGCTCGCAGTCGGCGACCACGGAAGTCCCTGCGGCCATCGCCAAGCGCGACGCCAGCGCCGCCGAGGCTCCCGCCTTCGAGCTGCCCAAGTTCGACCTCACCAAGCCGCTGGTTCCCAACGCGGGCACCAAGCAAACCACCACCACCCCGGCAGTCCCCGAGGACTTCCTGGAGTACCTGACGAGGAAGTAAGACCGCATGTTTGAATCCCTACCCGGCGCAGACGAGAACATCGTCAAGCCGGCAACCCAGCAGCCCATCGTGCAAGCCGTGCGCGAGCGCAAGGAGCAGCGAGAGGCCGCGGAGCGCCGGAAGGATCAGACGACCGTATGGGACGGATGGGGCGCTGCCCAGGCAAAGGGCGGCATCGGCTTCATCGACCGCTTCATCACCGAGCTGGGCTACGAGCCGCAGCAGGGCTATCGCATTCCCGCAGACGCGCGCAAGCGCTGGGAGTCGATGGGCCTGCGCCCGGAGCAGTGGGAGCTGTTCGGCCGGGCCACGTCCGACGAGCACCTCTCCTATCTGGAATCCGTGGCCTTTATGAATCAGATGGCGGACGACGACCTGGCGCAGTTCGGCCTGGGCGGACAGATCGCCCTCGGCTTCACCGACCCGGTGGCAACCGGCCTCGATCTCGCCACGGGCGGCCTGGGGTACGCAGCCAAGGCCGGACGCCTCGCCAACGCGGTGCGTTCCGGTCTACAGGCTGCGGGCACCTCCGCGCTGATGTCGGCCGCAACCTCCACCTACGACCCCGAGCAGACGCTCGCGGATGGCGTGCAGAGCGCCGCCCTGTCGTTCGCGTTCGGTGGTGCCCTCGGCGCTCGCCGGGGTGCCCTGTTCGACGGCGAGGTGAAGCCTGACGTGGTGAAGCGGCTGGCCGGTGACGACTCGCTGTCCGCCGCCCGCGTGGCAGGCACCGCCGCCAACGACCTCACGCCAGGCGTCCTCCCGCTGCGCAACGAGAGCGCATTCGAGCAGGAGTTCACCGACAAGGCGCTGGTCAACGCGCACATCACGCCCCACTTCGCCACCGTCCGCCGCGACCTTGCTGCCCGCATGGGTAGCGCCAAGTCGCCGCTGGTGCGCGAGGCGGGCCGCCTGCTGTTCCGCGATGGCGTCGGCTACACCGATCGCTCCGTCGCGGTCCAGGAGTCCACCAGCGAGTTCGCCAAGCGCCACCTGGCCGTCATGGAGACGGAATGGCGGAGCGGAGTGAACGCCGCATGGGACGCCTACAAGCAACGGACAGGCACCCATTGGTGGAACTTCTCCGAGCGCGCAAAGTTCAACGAGGAGGTCGGCCGTGCCGTGCGCGGTGCGCCTGACGTATCACCGGAAGCCGCCAAGGCGGCCGGCAGCGTCGCCAAGGCGATGCGCGATGCGCTCAAGCTGGCGCAGGACAGCAACCTCGACGGCTTCGCCAACGTGGCACAGAACGGCAGCTACCTGCCGCGCTACTGGAGTGGCAAGGGCTTCAAGCGCCTGTTCGGCGAGATGCAGCTTCACCAGGACGACGTGATCGAGCAGCTCATCAAGCCCGCCATGCGTCGCGCCTGGGAGGCCACCACCGACGAAGGCGACGAGATCGACGACGAGCTGCTCGGGGCGGTTGCACGCTCCTACCTCAAGCGCGCCCAAGCGAACTTCGAGGGCGACGGGATGGACCTGCTGGTCCGCCCGCTGGACAGCGATTCGGTCGAGGAGATCGGCAACATGCTGACCGAGGCGGGCGTCTCGCCCGTGCGGTCGCAAGAGCTACTGTCCAAGCTGGAGCGCAAGACCTACGAGTCGGGCAAGCTCGACCGCGCGAAGAAGCGCATCGACCTCGACGAGACCTACTCCACCACCATCCGCAACGAGGCTGGCGAGGACGTGCAGGTCTCGATGGCCGACCTGTTCGACAACGACGTGGACTCGGTGATGACCCGCTACATGCGCGAGATCACCGGCTGGTCGGCGCTGTCGTCGAAGGCTGGCATCAAGAACCGCGCACAGCTCGACCGCTTCGTGTCGAAGCTCAAGAGCGACGCCCGCAAGTCCGGCGACGACGTGAAGGACATCGAGCGCCTGATCGACATCGGCCTCAAGTCCACCTTCGGCCGCAGCACCGAACTCGATCCCGCCAGCCGAGGCGCACGCTACGCGCGGTTCCTGCGCAACTGGAACTTCGCCCGCGTGATGAACCAGGTCGGCTTCTCGCTGTTCGCCGAGCTTGGCCCGACCATCGCGCATGCCGGTCTCCGCAACTTCTGGAACTCCGTGGGTGCCGCCCGCGACTTCCTGGTGCGCGGCGCTGACGGCAAGCTGTCCTCGCAGGAGGCGCGCGTCATGGAGCGGCTGTTCGCACCCGGCACCGACTGGCTGCGCAACCCGCCGTTCCTGCGCCTGGACGAGGATGCGCTAGTGCCGCAGACGTTCAACGTCAAGCACGGCGAGAAGATCGACAACGCGATGAACATGGCGACGCACGTCACCTCGGTCGCATCCGGCATGGCCCCGATCAACACGATGCTCCAACGCATCGCCGGTCGCGCCACGCTGCTGCGGCTGCTGGACATGGCGAACGCCAAGAAGCTGTCGGACGCCGAAGTGGCCCGCCTGCGCACCTGGGGCCTCGACGAGAAGGCCCAGGCCGACGTGTTCGGCTACCTCAAAGGCAAGCGGCAGATCGAGCAGATCGACCCGGACAAGCTGCCGTTCCAGACGCGCGAGCGCATGGCGGCCTTCCTGTTCCGCGTGACGCGACACCAGGTTCTCGAAGGTGACGCCTCGGACAGCATCGAGCTGATGCACTCCACCACCGGCCGCATCGTCACGCAGTTCCGCAGCTTCATGGTCAACAGCTACACCCGCCACTTCCTGAACTCCGTCCACCACTACGACGACTGGCGCACCTACGCGATGGTCGTGCTGTCCACTTCGGCAGCAGGCATGGGCTGGGCGGCTCGCACGTACATCAACACTGCGGGCAACCCCGAACAGCGGAAGAAGCAGCTGACGCAGGAGAACTTCTACAAGAACGCTGTCGCGCAATCGAGCTGGTCGAACGTGATCCCCGCGGTCACCGACGCCGTGTGGGCGGACGCCTTGGGTAACGACCCGGTGTTCGCCAACAACCGCTCGACCGGCCTGGAGAACGGCGTGATGGGCATCCCGTCCATCGACCTGTTCAACAAGGTCTACGGCAGCACGCGGATGATCGGTTCGGCCATCCGCGACGATGAGGAGATCACCGAGAAGCAGATGCGCGACTTCTGGAAGATTTGGTGGTTCAACAACATGACGGGCGTCCGCAACATCGCGGATCAAGCCCTACAGCAGTTCCCTGACCGCAAGGACGGGACTGATCGACCGTAACCAGGAGGCCCTTCGGGGCCTCCACCTTTTTGAGGACGCATGATCGAACTATCGCGCGGCCTTTCCTTCGTGCTCTACACCTACGAGGGAGGCCCTACGCGGTTCACCGTGCCGTTCCCGTACATCGCCCGCGAACACATCCGGGCGTTCGTCGGTGAACCGGACGCGGCCCGCGCTGTCTCCGTGTCGTGGGTGGACGCCAGCACCATCGAGATTCCGTCGCAGGATGGCGTGCTCGACGCACCCTACACTGTGACCATCCGGCGATTCACGCCGATTGACGCCCTCCTGGTCAACTACAAGGAAGGCGCAAACCTCCCGGCGCGCGACTTGTCCAAGTCGTTCCGCCAACTGCTGTACGCACACCAGGAACTCGCCGAGTTCGGTGGTGGCAGCGGCCTCCCCGGTGGCGGCCCCGGTAACCCCGGTGGCGACCCGGACCTCAACGCAATCATCGAGCAGCTCCTCCGCTCGCCAGCACTGCAAGACCTGCTGACCCGCATCGACCTTATCGACGTGAACGCCGAGGCGATCCTGGAGGAAATCATGCGCTCGCACGAGTTCTTCGACGTGCAGCGCGACTATGGCGACAAGATCAGCACGGCCACCCACGAGATCGGACTGCTGACCGAAGGCAACAAGGTCATCGCGCAGCAGATCATCGACCTGTTCGCGCGGGTGGACTACGGCGAGCAAAGTAGCCAGGCACGATTCCTGGAGGTCAATCGCGCCATCGCTGACGAGCGCTCCGCGCGCGTCGAGGCGATCACCGAGCTGCAAGGCCAGGTGGTCGAGAACGGCAAGACGATCTCCGCAGCGCTCAACCAGCGCATCGACGAGGTGGAGAGCACCACCGAAGCGGCGCGTGCGGCCACCGAGCAGCGCCTCGGCGCAGAGATCGAGGACAGCGCGGCGCAGGTCCGCACCGCGGTCATGGCCGAGGTTGACGCAACCAAGGCCCGCGTGTCCGACGTTGAGACGGCAGTAGTCCGCCACGGCGAGAACATCGCTGGCCTGGCCGAGACCACCGAAGCCCTGACGGACGCCGAGGGTGCCAACACGGCATTCCGACAGCAGATGGCGGCCAGCTACGGCGCGAACGTGCCGCAGGGGATTGCCAATGAGATCGACGGCCAGGTGTCGGCGGTTTCGGCCGCCTTCGAGCAGCGCATCGACACCGAAGCGTCCGCGCGCGAAGCCCTGGCTTCCCAGGTATCCACGCTGGAGACCAGCACCGCGCCGACGATCTTCTCGGACGCGCAGCCCTCCCCGCCCGCTGGCGGCTTCAAGGTTCCGACCTTTTGGGTCAAGACCGTGCAGACCGGCGCGTACCTGACGCAGATTTGGGATGGCACCGGCTGGCGCAAGGCCGACCTGGATGTCACCTCTCCGACCGGCGCGCTGGTGCAGCAGCTCAACACCACCAAGATCACCGCCGAGCAGGCACAGGCCATCGCGGCCACGCAGGTCCAGGCGTTCAAGGACGGCGACTTCGCCACCATCCGGCAGGAGTTCAACGTGGTCGCCGGGCAGCACTCCGGCATGTACGGTCAGTGGCAGGCCAACTACTCGGTCAAGATCAACGCGGGCACCATCAACGGCGTCCCCGTGGTCGCCGGTATCGCCCTCTCCGCCAACCCGCAGACCGGCAGCGACTTCATCGTCACCGCGGATCGCTTCGCCTTCGTCCACCCGCAGTACACCTCGGGCGGCACCTTGGCGAGCATCAAGTATCCGTTCGTGATCGGCACTGTCGGCGGCCAGTCCACCGTGGGCATCCAGGGTGCGCTGGTGGTGGACGGGACGATCACTGCGGACAAGATCAGGGTGAACTCCCTGGCCGCGCTCACGGCAAACGCAGGCACGATCAACGGCGGCACGTTCAAGACCCACACCCTCGACGGCAACGGCAACATCGTCAACGCTGCCGAGTTCCGCGTGGAAATCTCCAACCTCGGCGACTGGCCCCTGTGGGTCGGCTCCGGCGCGAAGAACGCCAACAACGCGGTGTTCTACGTGGACCGCAACGGCGGCGCGTTCTTCCGAGGCCGCGTCAATGCTCCCAACATCGTTGGGCAGTTCCAGTCGGCGACCGGCGTGTGGTGGACCGGGGCAACGAGCCTCTGCTACCAGGCGGGCAACAACTTCATCCCGCTCGGCGATTGGGTGGCGATCCACGAGTTCTGGCTCGGCGCTCCGGTGCTGGCTGGCGAGGGTCATACGCCCTCCGTGTCGGTGACCGTCACCGCGAACACGCGCGTCTACGGGCTGCACGTCATCTTGGAGGAGCTGCGCGACTCTGTGTGGGTCGTCATCGCCTCGCACGAGCCGCCGATGTACCGCGCGTTGATTCAGCAGATGGGCGGCGACGGCAACACCTTCACTGCGTCCAACTTCTACACCTACGAGCAGTCGGTGACGCTCTCGGCGTCCGGCGCATGGACAGGCGGTGCCCGCGCATTCCGCGTGCGGTGCCGCGCATCCAGCCCGCCTCCGCAGGTCCACGGCTACGACGCCCCGGCCTACCCGAACTACCTCATCACGTCGATTGGCGGCTTCGCCTTCGGCATCCGATAACCCTCAGAGAGAACCCAAGCACCGCATGAGCACTACCCCCGGCTACGTCTCCAACGCCGAGCTGGCCTCGCGCCTCTCGACGCTGGTAGACCGCTGGAACCGGCGCGAGAATCAGATGATCGCGCTGCTGACTCAGGAGGAAGGCACCGTCGTCGTGACGGACGGCCTGGGCAACAACCACACCCTCCCCTCGTTCCCGCAGCTCCAGAAGGACGTGGCCGGGCTGACCGACGAGCTGACCGGCTCGGTCGTGCAGGTGCGCGACCTGGTGTCCGTGGCAACCGGCATGGCGAACGCCGCGCAGGCGTCCGCAGATGACGCCTCTGGCTTCGCCGACGCTGCCGAAGCATCCGCCGTGCGCGCTGCGGAATCCGCCGCGAGCATCGACGACGACGTGCAGGCCACCGCCGACGCGGCGACCTTCGCTGCTGCCAAGGCGGCCGTGGCTTCCGACAGCGCGACCGAGGCGGCAAGCTCCGCAGTGGACGCCGCCGCTTCGGCGACGGCCTCGGCCACCTCGGCGCTGGCTTCGGCTGGCTCCGCAAGCCAGGCGGGCACGTCGGCCACCGCAGCGGGTCAGGCGCGTTCCGACGCGCAAGCAGCGGCGACTGCTGCCGCCACGTCACGGGATCAGGCGCAGACCATCCTGGGCTATGCGACCGACGCGGCCGACCGCGCGGAAGCTGACGCCACCGCTGCCGCAGCATCGGCTGCCGCAGCCGCCGACAGCGCGACCGCCGCAGCGACCTCGGTCACTCAGGCGACCACCCAGGCCAACCGGGCGGAAGCCCAGGCGTCCGCCGCGGCGACCAAGGCTGGCGAGGCTGCTGGCTCGGCGACCACCGCAGCCGGTCATGCCTCCGCTGCGTCCGGCTCGGCGTCTGCCGCCTCGATCTCGGCGCAGACCGCATCGTCGGCCAGGGCCGCTGCCGAGGCTGCCCGCGACAAGGCTGGCCTGTACGCGAACGCGCCGCAGGGCACCGAGGTCTCGCCGGGCGAGTTCTCGGCGAAGCATTGGGCCGCCCAGGCGCAGGCTGCCGTCACTGGCTCGCTGGTCTACATGGGATCGTGGGATGCCGGCACTGGTGCGTTCCCGGCCAACCCGGTGAAGGGTCACTTCTACAAGGTGGTCGGCGAAGGCACTGTGGGCGACATCCACTGGCGAGTCGGCGACCAGGCGCTCTACGGCGCTACCTGGGAGAAGATCGACAACACCGATCAGGTCACCAGCGTCGCCGGTAAGCAGGGCGACGTGACCCTCGTGGCTGGCGACATCGGCGGCCTGGGCGCGCTGGCGACCCGCGACGACGTGGACTTCAACACCCACGTCACCGGGAAGCCGACGACCTACCCGCCGAGCACCCACACGCACACCAAGGCGCAGGTCGGCCTCGACAAGGTGGACAATACCGCCGACCTCGACAAGCCGATCAGCACCGCGACGCAGACGGCGCTCGACGGCAAGGCGGCGGCGACGCACACGCACACCATCGCCAACGTGACCGGCCTCCAGTCCGCGCTCGACGGCAAAGCGGCGGCGTCCCACTCGCACACCATCGCAAACGTAACCGGGCTGCAAGCGGCGCTCGACGGGAAGTCGGCAATCGGCCACACGCATACCGCCGCCGAGATCGCCAACGTCGTCAACGTGACCGACGATCAGTCCATCGGTGGCGTCAAGACGTTCGCCTCCGGGCAGATTCGTGTGCAGGGATTTGGCGGCGAGGCCACGTCCGGCGTCATGTACCTGGGGTCGCTGGATCGCTATGTGTACGTGCCGCCAGCTGCGAACTCGCTGGAGTTCCGATTCGGCGATGGCACGGGTGGCGTCGCGTCCCTCAACGCTGGCGGCACCGTCTGGACCTCGGCGAACTTCAACCCGGCAGGAAAGGCCGACGCCGGTCACACGCACACCATCGCAAACGTCAGCGGCCTCCAGTCCGCACTGGACGGCAAGGCGAGCCTGGGTGGCGCAACCTTCACCGGGCAGGTCACTCTGGCCTATGGCGCGCCGCTGCGGTTGACCGGCATGGGTGCAGCGGGAACCGCGTACATCCACGGAACGAACGGCGCTGGCGATGACGTTTGCTCGATCACCCGCGTGAACACGAACAGCTGGTACAACCTGTACTGGAACGGTGCTGCGAACATTGCGGGCCGCCTGACGGTCGGCGATCAGATTTACCTCAACGCTGGCTGGTTCCGCTCCCAGCAGTCCGGCACCGGCTGGTACTCGGAAGCGCACGGCGGCGGCATCTGGATGCAGGACAGCACCTGGGTTCGCACCTACGGCGGCAAGGGATTCCTTATCGCTGGCCCAGGCGGTAGCGGTGGCGACCTCCGTTTGGAGAGCTACTCGCCAACCATCACCTGTTACGACTCCGACAACGGGACCACGCACTGGCTCCATTGCAACGACAACAACCACGGCTTCCTCGCCAGCAACGCCTTCTCGTGGTGCGCCTACCGCGACGGCAGCAACAATTGGGTCGCCACGGGCAACATCGTCGCCTATGCGTCCGATGCGCGTCTAAAGAAGAACATCGTGGACGCCTCGGCCTCCAAGGTGGCCGACTTCTTCGACCGCTTCCGTGTACGCGAGTTCGATTGGGATGCCAAGGCAATCGCCGAGCTGAATCCCACGTTCCACCCGAGCGCGGATCACGAGGTCGGCGGCATCGCGCAGGAGGCCGAGGAGGTCTACTCGTTGATGGTCGCCACGCACGCAAACGGCATCAAGACGATCCAGTGGGAGAAGGCTATTCCCTTCCTTATCGCTGAGGTGCAGGCGCTGCGTAAGCGCGTCGCGGACCTTGGGGGAGGTGCCTGATGGCCCTCCCCGGCTCCGGCCCTATCTCCTGGGAAATGATCCGCGCCGAGTTTGGCGGCGGCTACCCGATCTACGCGGACCAGTATTACCGAGGACGTGGATTGGTGCCCGACGTTCCGGCCAACTACGGCGTCCCCACGAGCGGCCCGATCTACGCCTCGCAGTTCTACAACGCGGTCAAGGCGACGCCGTTCCAAGCATCGCTGTCGCCGAGCTACCTGATGGGTAACTGGCCTCAGTCCACCAACGGCACGGTCAGCGAGTCGTTCAGCGTTTATTGCTCGGGCGGCACCGGCAACTACTCCGTGGTCTCCCGCTCCGTCACAGGCGGCGCGTCGATCTCCGGCAGCGGCCTCGGTGGCACTGTGACCGCCTCTGGGCGGAACACCTCCCGCATGGGGCAGTTCACAGTCGTCGTCACCGATGGCGTCACGCAGATCACCCTGACCGGCAACTACGAGTACAGCTTCGGTCGTCCGCTCTAACGCATCCACCACCTACAAGAGACCTAATGCACGATGAAGTGAAGCTGGTCGGCGCTCTCGCGGGCGTCGGCCTCATCGTGGGCATCGCAAAGATGCTCACGTCGAACGATCCGATCACCTGGAAGCAGGCGCTCGGCCGCGCAATCCTCTCTGGCGCTACCGGCCTTGCCGCTGGTGCCATCGTCATTTTCATCCCCGGCGTCTCCTTCGTCGCCCAGGTCGCGCTCGCGTGCATCCTGGCGTCGCTCGGCACGTCCGCGCTGGAGACCGTACTGAACCGCGTCGTCAACAAGTGACCGCCCCCAAGGATGCCTTGGAGCGACTGCACGCCGCAGTCGCTGACAAGCTCGCCGACACCATCGACTCGATGGAGTCGGACGCGAAGGGCCTGGCCTCGATCCTCAACGTGGCCCGGCAGTTTCTCAAGGACAACGGCATCGACGTTGCGGCCACGCCGCCCGGCTCACCGCTGGGCAAGCTGGCCGACAAGGTGTCCGAGTTCCCGTTCGATCCCGCTGAGGATGGGCGGCTGAACTGATGGAGGGCATGACGAGCCTCCACGTTCGTCACCCTTTCGAGGACTTCCGCAACTTCGCCTGGTACGTCTGGAAGGAGCTGGGGCTACCAAGCCCCACTCCGATCCAGTACGACATCTGCGAGTTCCTGAAAACCGGCCCGCGCCGTCGCGTCATCATGGCGTACCGCGGCGTCGGCAAGTCCTGGGTGACGGCCGCCTACGTCTGCTGGCTCCTCTGGAAAGACCCCCAGCACAAGATCATGGTGGTCTCGGCATCGAAGGAACGCGCCGATGCGTTCTCGGTGTTCGTCAAGCGCCTGATCGAAACCCTGCCTGAGCTGCAACACCTGCGCCCGCGTCCCGACCAGCGCAACTCGAACCTGGCGTTCGATGTCGGTCCCGCGCAGCCCGATCAGTCGCCCTCGGTGAAGTCGGTCGGCATCAACGGCCAGCTCACCGGCTCCCGCGCCGACACCATCATCGCGGACGACATCGAAGTCCCAAAGAACTCCATGACCGTCGTGCAGCGCGAGAAGCTCGCCGAGCTGGTCAAGGAGTTCGACGCGGTGCTCAAGCCTGGCGGCGAGATCATCTACCTCGGCACTCCGCAGACCGAGGAGTCGCTCTACAACAAGCTGCCCGAGCGCGGCTACGTCATCCGCATCTGGCCTGCGCGCTACCCGAAGGACACCAAGCACCGTCAGGTGTACGGCGACCGCCTCGCGCCGATGATCGCCGATGCGTTCGACGCGAACCCCAAGCTCGCCTGGAAGAACTGCGAGAGCGTCCGCTTCTCCGATGAGGACTTGATGGAGCGCGAGGCGTCCTACGGACGCTCCGGCTTCATGCTCCAGTTCATGCTCGATGCGTCGCTGTCCGACGCCGAGAAGTACCCGCTCAAGCTGTCCGACCTGATCGTGATGGACGTGGACCGCGAGGTCGCTCCGATCCGCGTGGTCTACAGCAGCGGCCCGGAGTACATCGTCAGCGACATCCCGTCCGTGGGCTTCACTGGCGACCGCCTGTACCGGCCCATGTACCTCGCCTCGGAAATGGAGGAGTTCACCGGCAAGGTACTCGCCATCGACCCCTCGGGCCGAGGTGGCGACGAAACCGGCTACGCGGTCGTCGGCATGCTTCGCGGCATGCTCTACGCGCGCCGCGCTGGTGCGACCAAGGGCGGCTACGACGACGACACGCTGGAGACCCTGGCGCACATCGCGCGCGCCGAGAAGGTCTCCGCAGTCCTCATTGAGGCGAACTTCGGTGACGGCATGTTCGCCAAGATGCTCTCCGGCGTCCTGGCGCGCGTGTACCCGTGCTCCATCGAGGAGGTGAAGCACTACGGCACCTCGAAGGAGAACCGAATCATCGACGTGCTGGAGCCGGTGCTGAACCAGCACCGCCTGGTGGTCGATGCCTCGATCATCCGCGCCGATCAGAAGTCCGAACAGAAGTACCAGCTGTGCTACCAGCTGACGCGCATCACGCGCGACCGCGGCGCACTGCGCCACGACGACCGCCTCGAAGCGCTGGCGATGGCCGTGAAGTATTGGGCCGACCAGCTCTCCCGAGACGTGTCCAAGGAGGAGCAGCGCTACCTGGAGGAGCTGCTCGACCGCGAGTACGCCTCCTTCATCCAGTCCGTGACCGGCCGCATGCCGTCACCCGACAACTACCTCGACATCCTGTAGGAGACCCAATGTCCAACACGCTCGCTGCGTGGCTGATGGCGCTCGCCGCCGCTGGCCTGCTGTACCTGTTCCTGCGCCGCAAGAACGACGACGACAACGACGGCCCGAGCGCACCCGCGCCGGTAACGCCGTGCGACTGCAACCACGCTCCCTGCTGCCACACCCAGGGCGGCCAGTCGAACCCCTACGCGCCGGTATGACCGACGCAAAGCTGCCGAGCCTCGTGGAGGTCAGGGACAACCTGATCCCCGCGGCGGCCCGGCTGCTCCCCGGCGTGGCCTTCACTCCCGAAGCGAAGGTCATGCTGCTCGCCATTGGTCTCCAGGAATCTCGCTTCGAGCACCGCAGGCAGATCAAAGGCCCCGCACGCGGCTTCTGGCAGTTCGAGGCGGGCGGCGGCACCGCAGGTGTACTCCGTCACCCGGCGACCTCCGCACGCGCCTCACAGCTCGTCTCCGCGCGTCTGGAGCGTCCCTCGACCGCTGCGGTCAACGAGGCGCTCGCCTCCGACGACGTGCTCGCCTGTGCGTTCGCTCGCCTGCTGCTGTTCACCGATCCGCGTCCGCTGCCCGCCCTGGGTAACCCCCAGGCCGCATGGGACTACTACGTCCGCAACTGGCGGCCGGGCAAGCCGCACCGTGACACCTGGGACGCGCTCTACGCGAAGGCCCTGGCAACCATCCGCAACACCTAACCGGAACCCATGAACTTCAAGACCATCTACAACCGCGCCAGCGAGCGCCTGGTGCGCGCCTACGAGCGCGCTAAGGGGTACGTAGCGCTACGCATTGCCCTCGCCTCGCAGTGGCTCCTGGAGCGCCTGCGCGAGACCTCCCGTCGCACCTACACCGGCTGGCTGTTCGTCGTCGTGTTCCTGGCGCTGCCCTACGTCGTCCTCGGCGGCCTGTGGGAGCACCTGCGGAATGCCGCGGAGCGCCTGTGGGATGACGTGAACGACATCGAGTGGGCTGCGTTCACCCCGAGCTACTGGCGGGAGCACATCAAGCAGTGACCACGCTGGCCTTTGACGGCCGGCTCGTTGCTATCGACTCGCAGGTCACCGCTGGTGATCTGCGGTACGAGGAGGAGAAGTTCTACCGCACCACCGACACCACCGGGCGCGACCTGGTGGTGTTCGGCGCGGGCACCACTTCCCACATCCAGCGAGCCGTGCGCGAGCTGTCGGAGGGATTCGACGAACTGACCAAGGGCGAGTACACGATCCTCGTGGTCGGCCTGCGGGACAACCCGGTGGCCTTCTACCACGACGGTCTCCCTCTCGACCTCCGGCGCGACTTCCTCGTCGCCGGTAGTGGTGGTGCGATTGCCCTGGCCGCCATGAAGGCAGGCCACAACGCGACCGAAGCAGTCCTCATGGCCTGCTCGACGGACCTCTACAGCGGTCCTCCGGTGCAGACCTACGACACGGTTACAAAGCGTTTCCTAAAACGCCGGACCTGAACTACTGGCGCATGGACGCGCCTAAACAGGAATGCCGATTTGGCGAGTCCTATCAAGGGCGCTCATGAGTTCTTTGATGCGGTACGGCTTCGGGAGAAAGGTCGCCCACTGGTGAGCGTCAGGGAGCTGCGGGTTCGGCACCCCGGACGCGAACATGTAGGGAATTCGGTGCGACAGCAGGTAATCGGCGACGGACATTGATGCTCCGTCCTGCGTCTGGATGTCTAAGATCGCCGCGTGAAATGCTTTCGCCTCTATGCGGTCGAATGCATCGGCAGCGGAGGCGACCACATCGACCTCGTAACCCTGCATCGCCAGGATTTCCTTCAACATCCCTGAGAGGTCAGGATCATCTTCCATGACCAACAACGAGCCGAGCCGACCCTGGCTGTATGCATCCGTAGCCATCGCGCGTTCTCCCACGCCTACGTTCCCCAAACGGTTCGTACCGTACACGACGGCCAGTTAAAAGACAGGAAACGACTCTACCTGAAAGTGAACAGTTCAGCTATCACGCCAATTCTTCATCCTTGAACCACCACATTACAGCCAAGACGACAAACCAAACGATCAGCGGGACGCCAATCGTGAATTCCACGAGTAGGCCTCTCATGTGCTCGTGCTGCGCGGCCTCAGTCAGTGCAGAATCCAGAATTGGCACCGCATCGGCCACCACGCTGTACGCGGTCGTGTCATCGTTTATGACCTCGCGGGTACGTTCGACCAGCTCCCGTGCTGCTCGAAGCTTCGCGTGCTGATATGCGGCGGGCACTCCAGCACAGACCAGCGAGAGGACAGTGACCAGCGCCGCCAAGCGAATGAGGAGGGTATTGAGCGATGCCATAGATGCTCGTTGTAATGTCTATGCCAACCGCTAAGTTTATTCGACCACGGAGCACTGGGAGGGCTTGACAAGGGTGCTATCATAGTAAGACCTAAGTATTACTCTAGCAGGACTATAGAGTTCTATTCATTGGTATTCACCATCAAGTAGAGCTACAGTTCTCCTATGCACTCCTGGGGTGTTCCTCTGTCCTCCTTGGGTGCCACTGCGGCGGACTAGACCTCCGTCCCATCCTTGATGACCCATAGCACCACGCCCGCACCAATCCAAGCGAGCGCCGGGATGCCCAAAGCGAGCTGGAGAAACAGGTTGCGGGAATTGCGGTTGCTGATGAGGTCATTCGTCGCGGCGTCAAACGTCCGCACCGCCTCATCAACCAACACCTGCGGCGAGGCGTCGTTCTCGATGATCTGCTCGTTCCAGGAACGCAACTCCTCAGCGCTCCTTACGCCGGTCTGAAAGTACGCGGCAGGGAGTCCTGCGAGCACTAAGGCCAGGACGGTGATCGCGGTAGCGGTTCTTATCGTGTATCGGCGGGCGTACATAACGTCTCCTCGAAGTGACAGAGGTGGTCGAAAGGTTTGCGGCAAATTTCCGAAGGAGTATCCAACTACTTGGAACGGCGCGATCACCCCCCGTAGGGGGTCGCCCCCTGTAGCGTAAGGCACGATGCGCCCCCTTCGCGTCACCTGCGGCGTCACCACCTCGGCTAACCTACTGATTCCAAAGGTGAACCACCGGATTAGGTATCCAGTGCCTAGGCAATCCCATGCGATACCTGGGCAACCTGCGGACATCCGCGCTCAAACGTTCGCGCCCCTGTCTGTCCCTATCTGTCTTTTTGCCCTGACCGCCACGCGCCCACCTCGGCACCACCTCGGCACACCTGCCGACCACCTCGGCACACCCTGCCCGGCCTATGCCCACCTGCCGCCCACCACGGCCAGCCAATGCGCCACCACGGCCCACGCAAGGCCCGCCACGGGCACCCCTACCGCCCCGCCTATAGAAGCTCCCCACGCGCGCGCTAGGCGCTCCCTGCGACCATCCAAAATCGTTGCCATCGGGGTATTGACAGCCATGCGGGGATTGATCTAATCTATACCCGTCGCCAGCAACACGGCGGCAGCGGAAAAGGCGGCGACAGACGTGCGACCGATGGATCGACAGCACCTAGAGCTTATCCCGCCAGCACTGAGGACTAGCCCCAAAGGCCCCTAAGCGCACCGCAGGTAACGTCCGGCTCAACCATCCCCCTACCGGGAGTGATTGACAAACCGGGAGCAAAAGGGCATAATGCCCACCATCGAACAACGGCCGCAGGGTGCGGTCGGGACAGTAGGAAAGGGGCAGGCAGGAGCGCCGCCCACGGCAGAACGCGGGGAGCTGGGAACACTAGCCGCGCCGGGAAGTGTAAGGGCCGATGAAGGCCGCCACGGATACCGGGTCACCGCCAGAAAGAGCGGGGCCATCTGTACGGGATTCCTAGGCGAGCTGGAGGCGCTCCCGGAAGCTGGCGACGGTCAGATTCCATGCCTTACGAGCATGAGTCTGACCGCCAAAGCGCCCCTACCGTTGTGATGGGGCGTTTTGGTGGTCCGATTCACTGGAGAGCAACCCATGACGATGATCCCGTTTGATATGACCGCCCGCGACTACTACGTGGCCGGTTGCATCCGCCGCGGCATCCGCGAGCACCGCGCCCGACTCAACGAGCGGGAGCGCCAGGCACACAAGAACCGCACCCAAGTTGCGCCTTGTCCATCCCCCGTTGTCATCTGATCCCCTTTCGTCAACCCGGTTTTCCACACCCCGCCGACGTGTGACGGCGGGTCTTTTTTGGAGCTACCATGAGCACCAATGGACCACTGGAGGACTTGCAAGTGCGCAAGCTCACCGCTGAGATTCGCAAGATCAACCGCGAGAGCGACAAGCTGATGATGGAGACCCGGTGGTATCCGCTGGTGGTCGCCACGGCCTTTGTGGCTGGCATCGTCACGCTGACCAAGCTGTTCCTCTAACAGCGCCCTACCCCAATCCCCCGAAGCCGCCGCAAGGCGGCTTTTTTGTTGCCCGGAGAAAGCTATGAACAAAATTCCTTCCGCCCTGATCGCCGCCGCTCTGCATGTGGCCCCCAAGAATGACGTTCGCTTCTACTTGAATGGCGTGCTGATTGAGTCGCACGCCGATGGTGCGATCATCGTTGCTACAGACGGCCACCGCATGCTTGTGGTGCGTACCAGCCTGCCGTGGGACATTGGCAAGATCATCGTGCCGCGCAATGCGTGCGAGCTGGTCGCCAAGATGAAGGGCGATGTCTATTTCAGCGCCGTGGACGATGCCAGCCGGTTCAAGGCGGAGCGCGGAGGCCAGGCCATTGAGTTTGCTGCCGTTGATGGAACCTACCCGGACTGGCGTGCTGCGGTGTCCAAGCCGAACGAACTCAAGCTGTCCGGATTCGCGCCTGCCGTCCTCGAAGGCGTAGTGAAGGCGGCCGGTGTAATTTGCAAGGCATTCGGCGGCAAGGCCACTTCACTGATTCCGGTGACTGGCGGCGACGTGGCGGCCATGTTCGGTATTGGCGGCATCACCGATCCGAGCATCAGGTGCGCGTCTTTGATCGTCATGCCAATGCGCGACTCGTCATACCCGGAAGCCCTGTGCAGCGACGCGCTCCGCGCTTAACCCGAACCCATCAGCCGCCGCAAGGCGGCTTTTTTGTTGCCCGGAGAAAGCCATGAACCTCGACAACTACGCCCCCGAGAGCGCGAAGCGCATAGCCGTGGCGCTGGTGGATGCCGCCCTCGCCGCTGGTTACTCGCTCGGCGTCTACGACGGCGAAGAAACCACGGTGCGGCACAGCCGCGACCGGCAAGAAGTGTTGGAGGCCCTCGCCTCTACCGACCACGATCACCTGCGGTTCTACCGCCCGGACGCAACAAAGGCGGGGTTTGTGCTCCTGATTTGGGAGAACGGGGACGACGCCGCGAGCGACTGGAGCGACAACGACGAGACCAACGCGCTGGTGATGCCGGTGCTGCGCGGGCTGGGGGTGCTGTGATGGAACTGCGCACCTACGGAACCCGCAACGTGTTCCTGGCACAGCCGGGGCGCTATCACGAACAACTGGCGGCGACCGCGATGACGCCGCAGCAAGCCGAGGAGTTCGCCACCGTGGTCAACCGCGCAATCAGGGATACCGACTTCGACCCCATCGACCTCGCGCAGCTGGCGAGCGGGTGGACGTGGCCCGAGCCGATGAGCACCGCGCCGCTGGGCATTGAGGACTCCGAATTTCTTGTCGAGGTGGCGCGCATGCTGCACCGCCTCTGGCAGGAGGTCGGCGAGCAGTGGAGCGGCGTTTGGGCCTACGACATCGCCGACCCGCTGGGCGGGTGGCTGTCGAGGAACGGCATCAACCACGAGACCGCCGATGGCGTGGCCCGCGCCGAGCAGCAGGCCCGCGCATGGATCGCCGAGGGCATGGGAGCCGCGCGATGAGCTACCGCGAGGAGGACATCTTGTTCGAGACCGAAAAGGCATGGGTGCTGCGCAAGGGGCCGAACCATTTTGAGGTCTACAAAATCGGCCTCACCCACTCGACACGCCACGGCATTTTTCACAACATCCCCGGCGCACTGGATCGCGCCATCGAACACGCAAAGGGCCTGTCGCAATGAGCAATGACAACGAGCTGGCTGTACCTGCCGGTGACAAGCTGGTCACCCTGGGCGACCGATCGGTCTCCTACGGTCCCCGCCAAGAGTTCGACGGGAGCGTCGAGCCTTGCGCACCGATGGCCGCGCAGTTTTGGGGCGTCTACCGCTGGGCCGGTAAGGACCGCTGGTGGTGGATTGCCGACGTGGCCGACGAGGACACCGCCCGCGCAGTGGCCGCCGCCTACCTGCTGAACGTCAAGCCCGATTGGGCGCACTGACCGATAACCACCCCTGATCCCGAGGCCCGCCTAGTGCGGGCCTTCGCATTTCTGGAGCACACCATGCAAATCTACGTTGCCTGCCTTGCCTCATATAACGCTGGCGTCCTGCACGGCGAGTGGATCGACTTGGAGGGACGCGACGCCGACGACGTGCGCGATGAGATTGCCCGCATCCTGCGCGAGTCGCCGCACCCGAACGTGACCGTTGATTGCCCG